AGGAATAAAAAAATGTTATTGCCATATTTGGTAGGGAGTGTAAGTATACTATACATTCTACTGAAATATGTTGAATTAACGTTTCTGGCTAATACCAGAGGCGTACGACAAAGGCAAATGACTAATTAATTCCCCCCAAATCCTACGCCACTGGCGGAATTGCAATTATGTCACAATTCTCTGATTCTTCAACAATTTTCACACAGATATTGTACTTCATCACTATGGCAATGAAATCATATGCTCAATTATTTTGATTTCAATTCGTGAGAAACATAATATTATTGATCGAAACTTTTTGAATAGTTTGATGCATTTACAATATCGAAATCAGATAAATGAATGACCCAAAACACCGTCATAATTAATACACATTGAAATCAGAAAAATTGTGCAGCTTCCTGTTTTACCTGAAGTATTTCGAAAAATAAAGACTTGGGAGTGGGATATTGACGAGTTATACCGTGAACTTTTTCTTCGGCTGTAACAGATATCAGCAATATTTTTGATTTCTTCGACTTGTAGCCATCTGATTTTCTCTTATAAGTATTGATCAACTATTAGACATGGATGTCATAGCTTGAAGTTTGACATTTCATGGGAGATGAGATTTTGTGAAATAATAACACAATATGAAGTCACTGTGATATCAGATACGGAAATGACATTGATGACATACAATACACTACCTCATTGATTTATCGAACACAATAAAACAATAAGAGCAATTTTGTGTTATATATTGCCGCAGAAAAAATACTTTTCCCTCAATATATGACATTGCAACTTTATTTAGTATAAAATTTCTGATGATTCGAAGAAAATGTCTTCTTTTTCTACGCTACTGGTATTTACGGCTTTTCCGATGAACTCTGGGTAATTCCAAGATAAATTTAATCAGAGGTTGAAGTCAGCAACGTCTCGATGTACAATAATTATTAGTGATGTGTGCTGATAAAAGTAGTTCGAAACTCATAAATTCAACAGACGTCGATGTTGGTCATGATGATTTACGAAAACCAGAACATCACATTCAAGAAATTTCAATTGAAGACGATGTGAAAATATATTTCTCAGACGTTAGAACTTCTTTACTTGACCAGACAACTCTTCGTCGAGTGGGTGATGCCACACTCACTAAGTACTTTGCCTCCATTAGAACCTCGTAGGAAGGTTGGCAACCTTTTACTATTTTATATACTTGCACGGAAAATGTTCCTCAGAAAGCTCTGCTATCATTCCATCACTTGAAATACCAGTCAGACGAACTCTACAGGCCCTGTCAGCACATTCTTTCGTTGTCAACCTTGTAATATGTCTACCAAAACTCGTTCGTTTATATAAAGACAGGCAAAGCTTTGAAATTATTTGCCAATGAAAGTATCTTTCCACGAACTTATAACCTCCAGAAGTTGAAAAAAAATACTATACCTACCTCTTATCCCTAACCTGCCTAGGTACGCACAATATCCTTCAAACAACATAGGAATGTCCGTTCGTGCGCCCCAAGAGATAAAAGAAATAATATTATCCATTCCGAATATCTAGAAACATAGTTTACAAAAGTCGAGAATATAGTATTTGTCCACACCAAGTAGCACAGAATTCAGATAAATGACGTCAAAAAATCATAAATGAGCCTTATTACAATAATTATTATCGATCATATATGACGCACCCAAGACTCCAATTGGAAATACTTTTTTTTATTCATCGGACCGCACGTAGGAGAATTCCTATTATTTTTGTGATACATCGTTCATACTTAGAGGAGGATTGAGAAAAAATATAGCTAGTGGATTTATTTTCTAACTGGAGGTCATATACGAAATCAAAAAACTCATCTGTCTTTGGCCAGTGTTTTTCAGAGAATTGATATATATATATAGTAGAATTCACTATTTTGAAAACTATGATTGGCTATTTTGCACAAAATAAACATGCAAACTGACAATAATGAATAATTTTGTATCAAATCTATTCATGAAGTTTATGATTGCAATGTGACCTATAATGAATATGTCACATCTCATAATAATGATAATGAACATGACGATCCTATATAAAGTCATACATCCTTGTGTCTGACCAAATGAGAAAGAATCAACCATGGAATCAACTGATGTATTCGTCATTTTCCCCTTAAGTTTCACTGAATTTGAGTTTATGACTTTACCTTCACCAATAAGCACATAAATTGTTTGTAGAATATTGGGTTATTATCAAACTGGCTTGTGTGTTATTTTCTGTTTTTTTTTCGCTGGCTATTAGAGAAAATAGTGTACAGTAATTTTTTTGCAAGCAATTGCTGCCTGAACTCCGAAATAATCTTGCATCAAATCTATTCATGAAGTTTATGACTGCAATGTGACCTATAAAAATGACATGTCACATCTCATGAAGTCATAATGACGATCCTATAAATTTGTACATCCTTCTATCTGACCAAATGAGGAAGAATCAGCTGATTTATTCGTCATTTTCATCTTCGGGTTTTTTTTATCGCTTGGAGCGCACGAAAGGGAATCCCTATAATGTTCAAAGAACATCGTGCGTTCCTAGGAAGGATAGGGATAGGAGGTAGGTATTGGAATTTTTTTTTAACTTCTGGAGATTATATGTTGTTGGGAATACTTCCTCAGGCAATGAATTCCAGAGCCTAGCCGTTCTATGGATGAAGGAGTTTTGATAAAGTGCTGTTCGACATCTTTCGAAGTTGACAACGAAAGGATGTGCTGACTGGGCTTGTCTAGTTCGTCTGACTGGTATTGCTAGTGAAGGGATGATATCAGAGATTTCCGAAGAACATTTCCCGTGGAAGTATCGATAGAAAAGTGAAAGGTCGCCGACCTTTCTACGGTGTTCCCTATGAAATAGTGTTAATTTCAACTAGCAATTTCGTTATATATCACCGAAATTATTGTTGAGTATATTCTCAACTGACATATATGGTGTAATGCACTGTATTCCGAAGTGTTGAATTCCTAGCAAATTAGCATTTCTAAATTGGGGTGATAAAGATACCACACTCTCAGTAAATCCCAATGCGAAGTGCAGTAGATAATTTTACTGTTCCTTTGGTGTGGAAATGATCCACCTGAATACACTTTGCATTATTGTATAAATAACATAATTCAATAATGTTCATATTGATATATTTGAAAACACTATCGCCATATATTCAGTATAGTCATAGATTGTATAGTTAAGAGATTGTTGAGACCAGGAGCATAGAATATTTCTTTGGCAAATTCTCTTTCAGTACCTAGTCGAGTGTATGCTGTTTGGTCCTTGAGGCAAATATGGCCCATCTAAGCTAAAACATTTTTCTAGTGTCCATCTGAATTTTTTAGATGAAACAAAATTTCACATCAAATCGAATGATAGGTATACTGATCTTAAAAAATTATGAATTAAATTGCAGAACCCTAATTGGGCCATATCATACTATATTCGGGTTATACGGCCCATATACTGAACTGCCTTGAAAATTAAGAATGATAAGTTTCTAACTTCCATTATAGGATATATACAAAAATATTAAAATTAATAAAAACATAAAAAAAGCGATAAAATGTATAAAAAAGTATTGTAATTTCTATAGTTAGCAGCATTTGGAAACATACGAAAGTAAGTAAATTAACGGTTATAACTCAAATAAAAAGAAAACATCGAAATTTATAAGAAAATTCTTGGGGTTTACAGTCAACAATACTCGAAATCATCATATATAGTCTTCAGGCTCTAGCCCAACACATATACATACACATCTCCTTCTATCTAATTTGTCTTCTTCGTGACAACCACAAAACCAATACTCTTCAGTTATTGGTTCAGAAGTAGACCGATCTTTAAAAGTCGACTCAATGCTTGAGATATATACTTGGCTATTTTGTTTTTCTGCTTCATCATTAATGGAGTCAAGGGCTTTGATCAAAATGACAAATCATCATTTTCAAAGATCTTTTGTAACCTGTTGGGCCTTGTAATTCAAATGTTTTCGACGGACGGTTGTCTCTTCCTTTTCAGCTTCAGGAGTCGGGAGGATGTCATTAAACGTCTCAATTGTTTTATGTGGAGACAAATTTTTCCCATTAGGAAGCTGAAACATTGATTAGAAGTTACAAAATCTATATTTTCTCAATGAACTCGTTGGTGATGGATAATATAGCCCGCTGTCGGGTATTATGGACCATGGCCATGCAACCCATCGTTGTATTGGGCCATATTAGATGAAATGTATTTCTGAAAGAAGGTTATGTTTAATGAAGAGAGCCGAATTCTAGAACCCATTCAACATGGTATGTGAAAATAGCTCACAATATATACTTACTTACCATAAAAATATCTCACCTTGCTGCTATATATAAGATGGGAGGTACGTGGACTGAAACCTAACCAAAATATTACATCAGCGTGAACACCATGCAACGGCTTGTTCTCAACTGGCTACAAATAGTACAAATTGCAGAAAACTTGTAGAAACGGCGTGCGAAATGAACCTTTACTCGACTGCTTGCCCTAACTCTGCTTCGCGTCGTTCGTGTCAACGGCAGTCGCGTGCGGGAAAGAATCAGTTTCCGTACTTGTAAGGAAAATTACTATTACGCCCACAAATACTTTCTACGTTCATGCGTTGTGGTATATTTGAAGTACCACAAATAAAAGACGATGAAAGACAATACTCATGAATAAAAAAATTTTATCTTTGCGTAATTATATGCTAATACTATGCCACACTGTAATTTGGATACTAACTTGCCATTATTCACAGTTTTATTAGACTATAATCGGCTATGATTTGATAGCAAAGCGAAATGTACCACTAGGCTCGAAAGGGTTAAAGAAATGAAAAGAAAACATTGGACATTTTATTATTACGCCGTATTAAATTCAAGCACATTATAATAAATCATTATGTTTGTACTCTCTGCTGCTGACCCCTCAACTACGTTGATTACTTATTTTATTGATATCGTTCTCCCAAACAAAATGATATCGAGAGTCAGAACAACACTTCGTTGCAGTGTTTATCATATACATTGAATACCTAATATTTGGGTGAGTATTTGAACCATGCATCATACATCACTAGTCAACTCATCTATTCTTGTTCCACTACTAGCTCTAGAATACATTATCATGTGCTATCTTCGACCTGAGAAATAGTTGTTTTCTGTTGAATGGTTATAAAATGTCACTTTTCATAAATTACTTCATTTCATACTGCATCATAGAACATACCTTTACGTACCTGATTTCAATCCGGAAAATAGACTTTTATACAGGATAGGCGCACGTAATATTTCATTACGTGCTACTATCCCGTAATGAAATTTTACCGGATTGTAAATATTGAAAACTCAGTTATGTATCCAAAGCATGAATACATTTATTGAAAATTCAACAGCAAAACAATACACAGAAATGTGGATATATCCAAATTTTCGTGGACTATAGCAGCATCGACTTAACCATTGAATACTTTGACCAGAGTGACGAGCTTTTGAATTTGTTCGACTACAAAAATGTAAATACTATATAATAAACAAAACTTGAACTATATTTTTTATTATAAAACTCAAACTGCCTTAAAAGTTAGATGAAAACTCACCAAGTCCAAAGAATAAGCCATCATTACATCTTCATTCACAAAATTCACGTTGCTGTTCATTTTCCATTGACAAAAAAGCTTGAATTCTTTATCATAACGGAGTGACGATTTGTTGGGTATCAAATGCCCCGTAGCTTGATGTGATTTGTGTGTCCTGAGCCATTTCGTGAAAAACGCGTAATGACAATCACTGACAGTATTATTTAAAACAAAAACTATGTTTCTAAGGAAACTAGCTGCCAGCTATCTTGGGAGTGAATGCAAAATCCTGAAATTACTGGACGCAGATAAATAGATTAATATTTTTTTCTACAAACGTCAAAAAATGACAAGGTTCGCGCATTGATAACAAATTGCGAAGTGACACTTTTTTTCAGTTTCCTACGTTACCACGACACAATGTGCGAAGCAGTGCGCGAAGTAAAACAGTGCGCGAAGTACCTACTTCGCGCATTGTTATGTAAAATATATGAGATATTTATATTTCAACTTCATGGTCCTCAATCGAACAAACATCCACGAAATCATTTATTTCTGAATGTTCAACAATAACTTTGTTTTATTTCTTGGAGCGCACGAAAGGAAATTCCTATTCCTATTATGTTCATGGAACATCGTGCGTGCCTAGGGAGGATAGGGGGAGGCCTTTTTAAGCCAGTTCAACACTATTATTGATATAAAGCTAAGCATATTTTTACTTCAGAACTATATTTTTTGACGTTTGTAGAAAAAATGTTGTTTGCAACTCGAGCGCGAAATACTTTGGTCATCTCGACTATTTTTTTAACTCGGCTACGCCTCGTTAAAAAATCAGATCTTGATCACCAAAGTAGCATTTCGCGCTCTAGATACAAAAATAACTAATTTTTCACTGTTCATTTTTGTTTTTCAGCAGTATGAAATAAAATGTTATACGTCACACGTTCGGTAAACTTTTACAGTACTCGTTTGGAAATTCTCACTCGTACTGTAAAAGTGTACTTACCGGACTAGTAACGTAAATATCTATTTTACCCTCAGATTTTACCCAAGTGAGTATTTTTTTCTCGGATATAAATCACATATACAAGGTGTCTCGAAATTATGAGCAGAAAATCAAGAGGTTGAATCTGCATGAGTAAACATGAAATTTATTTCAAATATACGTAGGTCTAGAAATCCATAGTTTTCAAGATATAGTGTGTTAAGCTTTTAAGAAAAAATCATTTTTTTATGAATATCCCAAATATCCTTTTACCGATTTCCTCGAAATTCAGCAATGATATTCTTCGTCATGAGGGGCTGATTCAGCCATAATTAAAATGGAATTGTGTAATCCAGTGGCGTCCCGGGGGCACCCTGCCGAATATTATTGTCAATAGAATGTGCACCACTGATTTTTTTTTCAAATTCTCTATTTCCACATCCTAATTATTAACTAAAAATACAACATTTCGGTCTCCTGAATTGTCTCGCTATTTTGGTGCGTTTCCGTGGAAAAAAATAAATACCAATTCATCGTATAAATTTGTGCAAAACTTTGATTCGAAAACAGTGATGAAATTGAATGGTGTGATCCATGTCCATAGACGTAGAATAAGAATGAAGATCATTTTTTTCAAATTTTATAATACATGTTTGACACACTTTGTTTTATCGAAAACTACACCATCCTGGACCTAGAATACATTATTCCCAATAAACAGAGTGTAGAGTGTGTGGAACATGTATTAACAAATATTTGAAGAAAATGAATCTTCATACTTATTCTATGTCTATGCACAGAAAAAAAATTGTTTGAAACAAAAAAATTTTCGTGAATTCAAGAAAATCTGGGTGTCATATATCCATGACAAAATATTTTGTCACCACAACAAATGTTTTTTGTCAGTTCTCAATTCAAGATTCATTTGATGTGACTCATTAATGATTCAAATTTCGAAGGAATAATTCTTCATCATTAGCAAATTTTTTAGGAAGAAAATCTGCAAGACGAAAACAATGCTGATGTTAGTTTTTAAGTATTGTTGAAGAGTCTGAATATACCTACCATTATTGGTAGAATGAGAAATGTACTTAAATAACCTAAGACATTACTTCAAACCGCGCATTGTGCGGGTGGCTACAGCTGTTATGGAACGAAAAATTATATAGCTAGCTCTATAAGTACCTACATTTGAAAACTCAGAAAAATATTTTTCAAAATTCTTTTGTATGATACGATTGTGATCTGATATGCTGGTTTTGTACTCGCGACCTGATTGACCAATGTAACAACCTTTACAATCATCATTTTTGCAATTTGATTTATGTACACCAGACCTTCTAGTGTGTCCCACTTACCATACTCACCATGGGTATCTTTTTAACGGTGAGAGATACGAGGTCGGTCAAATGACACCAAATGTGGACTTTGTCAAGGCCAACTATAACGTGAAAAAATATTTTGATAAAATCTATTCGGTTTTGTTTTATACGCAAAAAACAGATTTTGATCATTTTCATGTCTCCTCCGTAACTTCTTTATTCATAACAATATTCGAATAAAAATTTCACATTCTCATGGCAGTTTTTCGAAGTGATTTCGAAAAAAATATGAAATTCATACCAACTCTTCTAAGAATTTGAGATAGCTGCACCAACTTTAGTTTTTCAAATGTAGGTTACTATGACTGAGTTACAAATAACTTTTTTTTCTCTTACAGATGATATGTCGCAAAAATAGTTTTGTATTGATAACAACGGAGTTATCGTCATTTATACAAAAACAAAAAATTATTTGGTTGCCGCCATCTTGAATTTATAAATTTCAACAAAAAAATCATGATCTCCGACCTTAAAAACCCCCACTCACCAATTTTGAATGGAATCGGACCAAATCTTGTCCGTCATCTTGGAGCAGCCATTTTTTTTATTTCAACAAAAATTCCATAGCTCTGATCAACTTGAAATTTCACAGGTGTTCATAATTTCGGTGGCAATACATTATGGATTTTTTGTTGAAATTGAAGAAAATGGCTGCTTCAAAATGGCGGACAATATTTGGTCCGATTCCATTCAAAATTGCTGAGTGGGGGCTTTGGAGGTCGGAGATCATGATTTATTTGTTAAAATTTATAAATTCGAGATGGCGGCTTCCAAATAATTTTTTGTTTTTGTATAAATGACGATTACTCCGTTGTTATCAATTCAAAACTATTACTGCGACAAATCATCAGTAAGAGAAAAAGAAGTTATTCGTAACTAAGTCATAGTGAGCTATGACCTACATTTGAAAAACTAAAGTTGGTGCTGATATCTCAAATTCTAGAAGAGTTGGTATAAATCTCATATTTTTTTCGGAATCACTTCGAAAAACTGCCACGAGAATGTGAAATTCCTATTTGAATATTTTCATAAATGAAGAAGTTACGGAGGAGACATAAAAATGATCAATATCTGTTTTTTGCGTATATAACAAAAACGAATAGATTTTTTCAAAATATTTTTTCACATTATAGTTGGCCTTGACGAACTCCACATTTGGTGTTATTTAATCGACCTCGTATCTCTCACCGTTAAAAAGATACCCATGATGGTGAGCATGGTAAGTGGGACACACTGTATAGAGTTCCGCTGTCCGAGACATTTTTTCAAAGGAACACCCTATACATTATTAGATTTTTGGAATCTCCATGGAAATCTGGATTCAAAATTATATTACATATTATAGAGTTTGCATACAGTCCGTTTGTTGAATAAAGTGTTTTTTTTTCAAAGTTGTAGATATAAACTTGTTGAAAATTAAAGGAATAATTCATTGAAAGATCGAGCCGTAGAATTTTATTTTCTTTCAAGAATTTTTTCAAATTCAATTAATACATACAGAATGATTCGTGTAGGAGAGATTACGTCATCGTTATTTTTTACCCCATTTTACGAGAACACTATATTTAACAGATGCCCTGTATACAAACCCCATGTGTGATATAATTCTGAATTCAATTCCTCATAGATTACAAAAATTCAGAAATATATACCTATAGGGTGTTCCGTTTGAAACATGTGCCGCAGACATCATAATTCAAACGTGTACCATCCTGTGTATTTGATTTATCCATATAAATGTGACTAAGTAATTGAGAATGAGAGTATTTCTGCTTCAGAAGATTTCTCAGAAATGGATTGAATGAGAATAAATTCATTCACGACTTTACGACAGCATTGAGTTCTTTGGACGCACTGTATATTATCCACATGTTTATACCGGGTAGCTACGGAAGTATTGCCTACAGAATATCTCAGTTATTGTATGAAGTAGGTTTGTGAAATTTGTAGCGTCGATATTGTCACGACCCATGGCTACAGGGTGGTGACTCGGGGGTGAACTCGCTTGGGAGGCCGAGAAATCAAAACAGTTGTTCGTTATAAAGCTACAGTTTATTGAAAGAAATTAGTTTCATTAGTGATTTAAACAAACGAGATTCAA